AGCATCACCACAACATACCCACTTGAGCTCATCTGCATGGACTACTTGTCCTTGGAACCAGACCACCGTGACATATGGAACATACTTGTAATACTTTTACAAAGTTCGCAGTGGCGGTACCAAAAAGGGACCAAAAGGCAAAGACCATCGCCAAGAACATTGTGGAAGAATTTTATTGTCCACTACGGCTTCCCCAGTCATCTGTTGAGTGACCAAGGCCGGGACTTTCAGTCTAGGACCATTAAAGAACTCTGTTCAGTCACAGGGGCAGATAAAGTCTGAACAAACCCTTACGACCCTCGGGGAAACCCAGTGGAAAATTTTAATAGGACGCTTCTTGGGATGTTGGGAACTCTAGAAGACAAGGAGAATCACCACTGGAGAGATTTCGTTAAACTGTTAGTCCATGCCTATAACTGCACAAGAAATGATACGATGGGCTACTCACCATACAAATTAATGTTTGGGAGACAGCCCAGACTGTCCTGACATGGAAAATCACCCGACACACTCGGAGTATGTCAAGAGCCTCCGACAGCGCCTCCATTGGCCACTGAGAGCACACAGATGTCGAAAGATAACAAGGTCCGATCTGACAAGAAGGTCAGGGCTGCAAGACTCCTTGCAGGAGATCGAGTTCTTGTCCGCAATGTCAACATCAGACACAAACACAAACTGGCCGACAGGTGGGAGCATAAGATTCATGTGGTTGTGAAACAGATCACCATATGCATGAGCTCACAGATCACCATATGCATGAGCTCACAGAGTTAGCGGTCAGATCACATGCTGAGGTACCTACAGGTATTACACAGATCTCTGATGCAGTTTCAGAGCCACCTAGTAATGTAGCCCAGCCCGAGCCTCAAGTAGCTTCCCCAGATGTTAATGCCGCTGCCTCACCAAGCAGAGTTGAGAGCCCAGACCATGTCATAGTTGACATCCATGATCCAGAGCCAGGAAATCTCCCTGTTTCAGAGCCAGAGAGAAGTGAAGATGCAGTAGTGCACGAAGAACAGCCTGAAGTCAGATGCTCAGCAGGCCAAAGCATCTGCCCTGCAAGTTGACTTATGATGAGTTAGGGAAACCCTTGATTTCAGATATTAGCTCATTCTTTGAGAATTTAGGATCTGCACTTCTTCAGTCACTGCAGGCATCTGTTGAGTCTTACTCGCATGCAGAGACTCATGCGGTCTAGAAGGGGAGGGTGTAACCCTTATTAAATTCTTACTAACACTTGTACACCGGATTTTACATTCATTCACCCATAGCGGATAGTCCATTAATGTTGTGTTAGTGTTAGTAATAGTGGGATATTGGCAGATACTCCCTAGGATCCCCCACGTGGAGCATGTCATTTTTTTCCCCTCACAACTCGATCCATCCCCATACGGAGAGGAGATGATAAATTTAGAGTTTTTGAGTGCGGGGTCACGTCGTGGATCCCCAACAGTAGTCACTACCACCTTATCCTTCGTTCTCCAAGGACTGACAGGTTTTTCCGACAAGAGAGTGGTAGGATTGGACATTTGTAAACTGTTGTTTTGAATTGGAACTTTTTTTTATTTCTACGCAACACACTTTTTGCTGCTCAACTTTTCTCATACGTTCTTTTTTTTGAGATCTCAACTTTTAAGGACATATTTTTTTGGGGGTTGTTGGGTCCAACATATGCCTATTTGGTTCAGTCACATGACCTACCTTAATACTTTATATTATACTGTGTCTGTGAATGATTGTGCAGACTTTTCATGATCTGCATTTGTATCTTATATCGCATTGTATCTGTTTTACATGGCTAGAGTTAGGACTTAATATTCCGAAACTGTTATTTCATATGAATCAGTAACCATCCAAGAGTTATTGGAAAGATACCACCCACACTGACTTGATTTATACCGTTTGACTGACATTTCACATTGCATTTTTTTTTTCTACTCACACACTGAACTGAGTTGTACTGATCTGCATGGTTATGCTTAATGTTTAAGACAGAACCATTTTTGTTTTATAACTTGGTTGGTGTGTATGTGTTATTGTGAGCTTGGGGGGGGGAGCATAATACATTAGTTAGTATTCGCTACTGCAGTCCTCCTGTACGGACCTTAAGATCAGATAAGTAAAAGCGAGCCTATTAGAAGATTTACAAGATACTAGGGCCTACCTAGAGATAAAATTGAGAAAGGTTTCACATTTCAGTTTATTCCATTGAAACCAGACTGGTCCTTGTGGGCTTGAATATGACAGAATGTAGAGTATATATTTTAATTAGAAATTGACGAAAGAGACATGCGAGTTTCTTGCTACAAAAAAATCAGTAAAGCCATTCAGAGCTGAGCAATAATTTGCCGTTGTAGCCACCAAAGAGAGTTAAGCAACTGTGGTGTCATGAATATGAATTTATTTGTATTCCACGTGTGAAATTTATACAAGACCTTTCATTAAATAACTCTGAGTATTAGTCAAGAAGATGACATATGCAGAGGACCCTTCCTGTATCATGAGCACCACTACTCATTACTGTGTCCACCCAGCTGACCCCATTTAAATATACAAATGAAAGAGTTCTTCAGTTGAAGACTTTTGGTGTTTGGAGGTTGTGATCAGTTCCCACAGATGCAAAGTATCATTGAAACATAGGCCCCTGCTTATTGATATGCACAATAAATAGTCTGTACAATCACACTTCTTATCATTTATCTCATTTATGTTAATGGGAGAACTTATTTAAAAATGCATGATTCTTAAATGAGAAATTATTAATTGATCAAATAAAATGATTTGATCAATTGATATAGGGGTGTAAATCACAGCTTTCCTCGCGATACGATACAATATCGATTCCTTAAGCCAACGTTTTGATTTTTTTTGATACCGCAGAAATTCCCACGATACGATGCAATACGATTCGATTCAGTTCAATACTGGGAATAATAGTCGAAATGATGAAATTTCACACAATCCTTTACATTTCAATAAATTAAAAAAGGCAAATATAATTAGCATTTTATCATATTTTATTGGGAACTGTAAACAAAATCTAGTGTAGTCAAGTATGTCCCATAAATCAAGCAAAATAAAGTGCAATAAGGTAAAAATAAAAACTTTGAATGGATAAAGAATTACATGGTGACTAATTTTACTTTGAATCAAGTCTTCTCCAGACAAATACAAAAGTGTAACAAAAAGTATGTCCATACCTGTCATGACCTGCTCGTATGACCCTCCCGTGTGCTATGCCCTTCATTAACTTTGTGTGCAGTCCCAATTGTTCCCAGCTGTTTATTATTGTTTCGTCTAGTCCTGTGTATTTAAGTCCACGTCAGAGTCTGTCGCCCAGATCTGTCATTGAAGTTTTCCCCATGTTGTGTGCTGTGCTTGCAATACCCCCCCGTTTGTTGGATTTCCGTCTGCCTGACCCTAATTCCTCCTCTTTCCCTGCTCGCTCGACCTACGCTGGAATACAACAATAACAAGTAAAATTAAGTGTAATAAAGTCAAATAAAAAACATTGCATGGACAGACATGTAGACTGAGGAAGATCAACATGACTGACTTCTGCCGTGAAACAAGTATGTCAGTATTCTTCTTTGAGAGGTTTTTTTTAAAGAAAAATTAAATGGTCAACGGGTTCAGGAGATTGTGTGCTCTGAGCATAGCGTCCTATGTCACCTGCCATACTAAACACACGCTTGCGAGCTACTTATAAATGACCAAGTCAGAAAGATCTACCTACTATAAAAATACAAAACATATATTTAGGCCTATGTATAAAAATATTGAGTATTCTTTAATATTATTTATAATTATTACTATTATTATAATTAATTTCCCTTTGGGATAAATAAAGAATTTTTTAATTGAACTGGGATTTTAATTCCTTTACCTTTCTATTTCTCAGCTCTTTTTTTGGAGGGAAGTTAATGTCGTAGTATTTATGAACAGTCTGAAAATGCCGCTCCACATTTCCCTTCTTTGGAATAGCAATGGTAGACTGACAGATGAGGCAAATGCACTTTGAATATGACATGATGGAAAAAAAACAGTCCTCCTCCCATTCTGTATGGAAGTGGTAGGTTTTTGGATTCTTACTTGGTCCAGCTCCCCCATTCATTTTTATACCCTTTCTTAAGTTGAGTAGAAATAAATTGGAGGCTAACTACGTTTGCTGTTGAATCGATATATCGATACAAATCGATGTATTGTTACACCCCTAATAGCCTGGACACATTTCAAAGAAAATAGCATACTACACTGAAACAGGGAGGAGGCTTGGTTATGTTTCTGGGCTGCTTTGCTCCAACTGGTACGGGGTGCTTTGAGTCTGTGCAGGGCACAATATAATCTCAAGACTATCAAGACCTTCTGGTCAGTGTCAGAAAGCTCTGTCTCAGTTGCAAGTCATGGATCCTCCGAAAGGATAATGACCCAAAACAGACAGCTAACAGTACCCAACAATAGAGGTCGACCGATATTGAATTTTACCGATACCGATAGCTAGGTTGGTCCGTACTTGCCGATAACCGATTAATTAACCGATAGTTTTTAAAATGGATACTGGATTAAAAAAAAAAAACTAAATTAAAACACAACACTACATGTAAAATAGTACTAAACTTTATTACAAAAACCAAACAAAAAAACAGTACTGAATCATGAAAATGTGCTATATGAAATAAATATGAATATATTAATAAATATTGAGGTAAATTAAAGACATGCTTTCAAACTGAAAGAAAAAGTAACACTCCAAATAAATAAATAAAAAGTTACATACAAAATGAATTATAATAATAATTATATAATTATATAATATTATAATTATATATAATATTAATTATATAAATGTATATTATATGTGTAGTCTCCCACTATATTTGCTTCTATTTTGAAAACTTTTTTCTCTCTCCATAGGCAGAGGTTGACCAAACTGTTTGTGTAATCTGTTAACAACGCTCATTATATACCCGTCTTTTTAGGCAAGAACCAGATAATGAGTGTCACGTCATGAAATGGTTTTAATACGAAGGGAGCTGTATTACGTGATAACAAATTTAATAAAAACATCGTAAGTTAGGCCTATAATAGTAATGATTTCATTTCAAACAACAAATATATTATATAGAGAAGGTGAGCAAAGTATCAACAGAGCTTTTTGAAACTCCGAATCAGTAAAACACTGCGTCACAAAAAGATTCACTGTTTCGAAGCGCTCCAGTCGGATCCCCCCATCCCCCCGGCAAATCGCACCCTGTGCCTGAAGATAAAAAGAACTGAAATCGAATGCATTCCTGATGGTAACAATCATGACATTAAACATTTGGGTCGGACTTGCGTGTATTTTTGCCACATTATTTTAACCGCTTGATGTACTGCTAATGTTAGCGTCCTCTCAGCCTTGTCGACAAACATACTGCTGTTCTTTCTCCAATGCAGAATCTAATCAACAAATGAATTACTTTATATTGAGATGAAAACATGTACTGTAGTGTACTGTATACATACCTTTTCGCTGTCTGTGTTTTAAACGTGCATTTGAAGTGTCAGCGTTGTCCGTGCACCGCGCTCTCTCCAGGCAGCTTGCGCTCTCCTTGCAACTAACAGTATCACGTGTCAAAACAAAAGCATGTGCTTTACAGCGATTTTCGCCTATAGAGGCGGCTCTTGCCATAGATATATATGTTGGCTCTCGCACTGTATAAGGACAACGGACCGTTCTCAGCCGCTTCAGCTCTGACGCAACCCGGAAAAACTATCGGCGTGGATTTTTGCCGATAACCGATAGTTCCGGGAATCAACTATCGGTGCCGATTAATCGGCAAAACCGATACATCGGTCGACCTCTACCCAACAATGCATAAGAACAAAGCATCACATTATTCTGAAGTGGCCCCCTATGAGCCCTAATCCAAATTATATCAAACATGAATGGAATGAACTGAAATATGCAGTGTGGATAAGGCACCCTCCAAACTTGACACAGCTAAAGTAGTTTGCTCAGGGAGAGTGGGCCAAACTACCTGTTAACAGGTGCAGAACTCTCATGGAGACCTATAGGAATCACCTGTTTGTAGCAATTGGCTCTAAAGGTTGTGCAACAAAATATTAGGTTAATATTAGGTTTTTTGTCCATGCCATATTCATTTGTGTTATTATTTAAAATATTCTGTTGAATCAAAACTCTATTTCAAAGTCAGATTTTTCTTAAATATGGAATAAACAATAATGGGTGGCAAATACTTTTGTCAGTTTCAAGTTATTTCAGAAACAATTGTAGGTTATTTATTTTTCATGGAAGGGTACCAACAAATTACGTTTCATGTCTGTGTATGTGAGTATTTGTACCATCCATCCATCTATCCATATTTCTGAGAAAACCATCAGTATAGAGCAGTGCAGGGCCCATTTCTTTTTCTTTAAAACACCTTTAGTGTGACAGCGGAAAATAAGTTGCTACCTGTTACATGGCTATATATTACTTGAGCATAAATAACATGTAAATCATGAACTGAAGATTCCATCTGCCATTCCAGAGTTAAAATGTACGCTTAATAACTGTAATACAGACCTGCATCATGTACATTTCATATATTGAATATTTATCTAACAAGCTATGTTTTTATATTTCACATATATAATTACAGCAAAAATATGATCTTGTCAGTGATTATTATTAGTTATTGATAAATACCACAGCTGTATACACTCTATTTACTCCAGTTAAAAATATGAGGTGTTTAGCACACAAAAGCATTTCCGTGGTAGGGGTGAGTGAAGATGTAAGTGAGAAATAATATTACAGTATCAAAACTCATAGCTTTGTAGGTGTTTTCATCATAGACAAACATCACTTTAATAAAAAGAGCTTTCTCTCACATCATCCTCTATATTGGAGCTGTGCCTGCATATTACATTTCAACACTGTTAATTTGCTTTCTTCCCTTTTCATATTCCAATGAAACATTTTTTCTTTTCTTAGTAAACAAACCACATAAAACTGTGAGTAGTATAAGTTTCAAGTAATAATAAATGGCTATATTAATGTAAGAGCATCTGCATCTTATCCAGTTTATGGAGAACAAACCATGTTGTCAGTAGGTCATGAGTTCCACTGCCATCCTTGGGAGAGTAGTCATATCTTTGTTTGACATTTACTCTAACTGCTCCACGAGTGCTGGTCAGAGGCGCAGCTACAGGTGTTATGCCGAAAAAGGCATCCCTGCCGTAGAATGCATGCCTGTCTCTAAATGACCAATAGACCTTTTTCACAACTTCCGCATTTTTGACCGGAAATACGTAATCGTAGGCTATCTTTACTTCCGCCGGTGTAAAAAAAATAGCGCATGCAGCGACCTCTTCTTCTTGCAGTGTACCGGGCTGTTCTTGTAATGCCCAAAAGCAGTCACATCTATCTTTTCATTCCTTCCCTGTTAATGGTGAAGTTCGACGTAAATGGATTCAGGCTATCCGGCGGGATGAAGGACCAAACTTCACAGTTAAAAAGGGGAGCACTTATGTCTGCAGCAGACACTTCACCTCAGACAGAAGCAAGCACCGTATTTTAAGCACAAATGACACAAGACCCAAACTTTTAAACAACTAGAGGCATGCCCGAGCGAAACACTGTCAAAAAGAGCAAATGCGAAA